ATAGACTACACCAGATATTCAGCTTTTTACCACCTTTAATCTGCTTCTTGGTCGTCCTCGTTTTAACCTCTTTATACAACTTATAAACTATGCTCTTTTTGTTTACTTGCCTTATTCATGTGATATATTTTAGGACCTATTTTTATCACTCTTCTAATCAGATTTCCATGTGTTTCGACAGAGCCAAGACATCCTCACCTTCAAGTGCCTCCAGAAGAAATCTACACTCCCGATGCTCTCTACACTCTCCAGTTGCCTTCCTCTCCTCCTTACCCCCAACCCCCAATTTATAAGCCAAGAGTGTCCCTTCGAGAGAAGGAGGAGGGGGCTGGAGACAACGAAGTTCCAATGGATCTCGCGTCGAGCCTTTCCTTATCACCCCGTGACAAGGTGGACAAAACCTCCAACCTACCTCCTGCCATTGCTATGGATTACCACCACGGGCGCCCCTTTACTCCCCCTGCCCAAGATGAAAAACCCGACCAGCAACCAATTGATGATTCTGCTATTGCTAAAGAGGAGTAAGTGGTTCCATTTACCATTACCCGTATATTTTTTTTGAAATTTTATGTTGCCATGGCGAAATTTTTGGGTGTTCACTGAGGTTGCTCTACGACTAAGGCAGAAAGTGTTAAGTAGTAAGTCGATTTGGGTTGGTATGAAAAATCTAGCTAAGAATAATTAAGCCAGCTAACTACTTCCTTCAGGTGCACAAAAAATGTTCGATTTTTTGTTCCTTAATGATATTTTACTAGTCGGCTGCGAGTGGCTTTCTCAGGTTTTGAGTTGGATCCATGGTACTCGGATTTTTTGTCCTCTATTCAACTAACTTCCTTTACGGTGAGTTTGTTAGCGTTTCCTTGCTTCTTACATAAGCTGTGCTTCTTCTCGAAACAGTTTCCCCTAGGTTAGTATGTATAAATATAGAGGACATTCTAATAAATGTCGGCTTACGTCGAAATTTCTCAAGACTCTTAAAGGTTGTTTTTTTTGTATCACCTGACTTGAGGTGAGAAAACGTATTCTAAAGCCACGTATTGAAAATTTTCATTCCACCGCCTCTCTCAATGCGGTTGACCATCCAAATCTACTATATGTGAGCATCGGTCTGGTAACCTCTCCTTCAAAACTGGCACAATTTAGCTTGGCAGCTTTCATTCTTTCAATGCTAGAATAATCAGCGATAATTTTTTTCGCTTTTCAGTAATGCTGAATTCTCCAATTGCTCTTCGTTGACTGGACCCTCCGCGGGAATTGAAGTCAGCAAGGCAACTAGGGTGCGTATATATCATTGGTTATGATTAGCTTATCTCCTAATTTTGTTTGCTATTTGTAATCAATGAAGTTTTGTAATGGTGATGGTAGTTTGTACATCTCTACTAGTGAATACTTCTTCAGGTCAATACATATTTAAGCTCTTCCTTTTGTTCTAATAATAAGGAAGATATGAGGAATTTTAGATTTTAAATATTTTAAAATTGGTACTCTTTTCATTAACATCAAGGTATAATTTAATTATTGTTGAATTTATCTTGAAACTATGCCACTTTACTTACAGAGGTAAGGTACCGCTAGGTGTTTTAGCAGAATTGGAGTGTTTTGTGTGTCCATTCATTTCGTTATTAAGTACACCCCAATGCTCACCTATTGTTTCCAGCTATGTAATAAGGTGCTTATTTGAACAAAACAATGAAATATAACAAATTCATTTATATTATTTATAAGTTTTGGATGGACTGTGGTAATGTAGTTTCACCAATGTAATTCTGCCGTCGATTATATCGATTGTGACTTTTTGTAAGCAATTTATCTGACCCAAATCATCGAGTTCATCAGTTTCATTCGTGCCAGTTCAATCCTATTCAAATATTGGAGCTAAAAAATTGAATTTTGTTAATTTATTTATTAAATTTTTTAAAATACATATTTTCAAAAAAAGTTACAAATGGACTATTACTTTTCACTGTTCTTGGCTCGATAAAGAGCATTGCTCTTCCGTCCACTAGGTTAATTCTAACATGCTACTTCGCTAATATTTGTATCAAAATAGGAGTTTGAATAGCAGTTTCCCCTGTTGTACTTATAAGGAAAACGAGGTGATTGAAATGTGAAGATTTGTGCTCACGTCCCTAAGATTCCCTTGATAACGCAAAATTCGCGGCTTATTAAGACAGACTGTGTAGGAGTAGGTACTCTGCAATCCCTCTGACGTGAAATTCGCTTTTTATTGTTTCTCTTGTTTGTCCGGATAAGAAGAATCGGTCATTCCGTTAATTTATTTTACATCGTTGTTTATCGCCTTCATTTCTTCATCTTCACATTTTTGACTCTCTCTCTCTCTCCCTCTCGTGGAAATAGTTCTGTTCCAGCACATTCCCCCACCCCTTCCGCTTTCTTTTACCTCAAGACGTAATTCGAAAACAGAGCAGTTGCTAAGACTCATGTCTGGTCTTGCTATTCTCTACACACTTTTTTCACTGTCTAAGTTAGACGAAAAGAATAATTCATCTTCAGCAAAGATAGTGAACTCCGGAAACTTGGCCTAAAATTTTATTTATTTTACTATCGCTTGTTATGCTTCCAATTGCTTGGAACTGGCATAAGAGACAGTCAGAGGAAAATTTGTAATGTCTAAGCTCTTTACAGCATAAACTTGCCTGACAGTGCGGAGAGGTTGGTGGCAAATGATACATTCTGTCAAGTCAGAGGTCACGAGGTTACTCCTTGGCGATGCAGGTCCAGTGATTTTTTGAGGGCATCGGTTCTTTTAAATCCACAAAAATCGAGTTTCGTGATGCGGTTTGTTAGCTACCTTTCCTCTATCCAAGTGAAGTGTTGCTAGCCCTTTTCTGATTTGGGAGACCACGGGCAAAATATTCAGCACAAGCGGTGTCTGTCAAATAAGTGGTCTAAAGAATGGTACCCAATGGGTCACTTCTAGTGATACTGGTGGGCAATCGCACTGTTTAATTCTCCTCAAAAAGGAAGAGTGGTAGTGTGAGTTTCTCATAACAGTGGTCTCAGGTTCATTTTTCCCATATTCTCGAAGTTTCAACTCTTTTTGTGGGCTTGAGGTGTTTACTAATTTGATCCGTGGTTATTAACAAATAGTAGAATGGGACAATGACTTTGCTAACTTTGTTTTTTTTTGTGCTATCCTAGGCCCACAATGAACGAATGCGTAATAAGCTTATTCCCACCAAGCGCATTACCCTACCTCCACTTCATCTCCATCTTTCCGAAGATGGCTCCTCTCCTCTCCCTCCTGGTTGGCAACGTGCCCCCAACCCTGCAGCGGCCGAAGGTGGCGAAGATGGAGGCTATCCCTACTATTACTACCATACCAAAACTCGTGTAACTCGATGGGACCCGCCTGTCTACCCCTGGGATGCCGATCCCGATGACAATCTCATTCCAGATAGACCAGATGATGACCCTGAGGCGCCTTACAATTGGGGTTGTGCTCATCGCTACGCGGTCACACATGAGGAGATTGAAACAGTAAGAAACTCTTCAGACTATTTTGACTCGGTGTCGCTAAATTTACAATATATAATTAGTTGCTGCTGGACATTTCACTTAAAATTATTACTCTTGACCGAGAACAGAGCAGTAGGAAAGAAGGCAAACTCAGTATGTCCATGGCCCTTTTATTATCTATAGCCAATTTATTATCCTAGGTTGTGATTGGGGTGGGGGGGGGGGGGGGGGGGGGGATGGATTAACCAGTGATGTTGGTTGATGTCAATATTCGATAATTATTCGGATGATCATTCAATCAGTTATTAGTAAATAATTCGACCTTGGTGGTGGCGTGGTCGTGCCATCTTACTGGAGTAATGCAGGGAGGAAGGCTGAATGTGAGTTTCTCAGTCGGATTTCACGATTCTGGAATCCCATGTCCTTGCCCTTAGTGTTTGTTGGACTTGTGTATTATTGCCTGACTACGTCAAGGGAATAACTCAAGTCATGCGAGTCACTTGGATGGTTTTGAAACACTGTGTGCGAATATTTGTTTGCTCATTAACGTACTTTGAGCTAACGTAATCAACATCGAATACCACATTTCCCAAGTTCAAAGTTGTCTTGATTCATGGTCTCTTACTACTTCTGACTGACAATTTTCTGATGACTTTGGGTGCAGCTATGTTGGTAATAAGCACTGATGTCGCTTTCCTTTTGCCAACTGTAGATGTACGCCCAGTACCGCAAGAAAATGTTGGAGCGTCAATGCATGGAACTTATTCATGAGATGGGTGCACGACCAGATGCTCCTCAGGATGGCTTGGAGCAAAACTTCGCAATTGAGGTATTCCTTGGTTCTCAAAATCCCCTTATTTTTTTACCAGTTACTTGTTTCTCTAATGCCACTTTTGTCCCATTCGCAGCTCTTCTCTCTCATTCACAATGAGCTGAGACGTTTCAGAGATTCCCGAGTTGATCTCGGTCGGATTACAAATGACGAAGATCTACATTACCTCACAAATAAGGTATGTCCTCAACTAACTCCTCATTTCTTGAATCTGGTATACCATTCTTGCTTACCTCTCTCTCTCTCGCCCTCTCTATTTTCAGCTGGCACAAGAAGTATTGCCTAAGGAGATCCGCAATTTGCATCGAGCTCAACAGGTGAATGCATCGAGTTTGTTCGCAACAACCCCCGAAGTAACACCATCTATTAAAGATCGAGTGGCGTCCTATGTCCGGCGTTACATGGAATCGAAGGGTTCACATTATCGAAGAGCTGCGGCCCATCACCAGCATCACCAGACACAGACACGCTGAAAGCTCAATCCTCTCTCTACCTCCCACTCCTATCTTTGGCTGCCCCTATCTTACCTGTACATAATGAACCGCCTTCGGTGTAATTGAGTTTAATTATTAGAAAGTTTTGAGAAAATGTGTGAGGACTCTTCTCTTCATTTGGCACTTCATTGGGTCTCGGAACTTCGTTAAGTGGGAATCTGCTGAAGTTTGTATTGATTTAAGTGATAATTGACGCGAACGATGTAAAGGAATAGTAAATCGGTCTAGGGTTAAAATGACCCTTATGATCAATAAGGAAATTATGTTGCTCTGAAAACATGATGGTTTTGGGGCGATGCGATTCTATACTACTTCGCATTAAGTTTCGTAATTTTCGGTAGTTTCTTTGCTCTGCTGGAGTAACGTAAATGCTTCCAGCCAATTGCTCTAAAAGTAAAAAAAATTGTTAAGTTGGCCAAAGTATATTTAATTAACCACTATTAGAATTTGCGGGAGTAGTGGAGGGGAGATTAGATGGAACCGTACGAGTATAAAAAGTGATTTGCGTTTTTGTTGCATCACCTTAAGCATCAACAATATTTCTAGCAGTAATTGGGACACTGGTATTGAGAATTATCAGAACTATTGTAGTAGTTATAATTATGCATGGGGTTTGTCACGGATACAATAGGTAGTTACAGACGGCGCACTGGTAGTAATGAAGACATTCACAACTTAGCATTATCACGCGATATTTAGTCCTTTAAGAATTACGTTTCGAAATCAAGTTCTGCTGTCAGACAAAATAGAAACAGATAAATTGAGGTGTAGAAACAAATTGCATTTTTCGAAATTATAGAGTGTAATGAAGTTGTCTTCAACCTTTTCACTTACAGATGGATCCAAAGTATAATGGTAATTCTACTTTGAACTGGAATGCCTTCAAGAAAATGCCCGTATAAAAATATTTTTATTGGTACGTCACTTCAAACTTAAAAGGCTAGTAAATATACCAATTACTTGAATAGCTTATAAAATGATTTTGAAAATTTTGGAAATAAAGGCTATGGAGTGCTCAACTACGACTTGATTGAACAGGAAAATCTCATGTACACACGGGCAGACCCGAAGGTGCCAGCTTTACAAGTGCTGTAGGGAGCAAGAGCTGCCGTGAGCACGGAGACCTCTCAGTCACCAATCAATAGTCTCTGCATTGTTTAACAAACCCTTCATAGTATTAAAATGATTAAGATCCCTGCAAGTGGCAAGCAACCAAAATTAACTTGCTCCACATTATGCGCCCGTTTCCTCTATAGCTTTGCGGCAGTTTAGCTAATCCTGGGAACAATTCCAAATTTAGATGCCTTGCTATAGAAATTGATGAGCATAAGTCAATGACTTTTAGTGTAACGATCAGCTACAGAGTAAATGTAGTTCCGAGAAATACTTAGTCTTTTAATAAAAGTCGAACTAATGTAAAAATTAAGTAGCATATATTCACAATTTTTTTGCCAAAAAGTTCATAAATAAACCCAAAAGTTTACGGGACCAACCCGTTCACAAATAAGAAAGACAATAAATTATTATTAAATACATAAAAGCGTATTTGTTCTTTATATAACTTTACTTGCAACTAAAAGGTCAAGTCCACTATTTATAATAGCATATTTAAACCGATATATAGCGATATAGATTAGCACATTAATGTTCTTTGCTATAAGACTTTTGGAAATAAACCCTGTAAGCTTGCTAATACCATGCTTAGATTTCAAAAGTGTAGGCTATTCAAGCATCTTTGCCGAACTGGCCTGCCGAGTCATATCTTAGTGCAAGTATATTTGAAATGGAAGCCCTTGAAGATCTCGTTGAGCAATCTGATAGGCTCCTTATTGAAATACAGGGAGATACTGATCTTCCTCTAATCACCCGTAGCCTTGACCAAATGGGTGCTTTCAGCGAAAGGCTATGTGCAACACGTGGTGTAAGAAGCGATGTCAAAGCTGCGCGTCTTCTTGGTCCTACAATCAACTACGATTTGCCAAATACGTTAGCTGCCAAATTAGAATCTCTTTCTCAGATTAAAGAAATCGACTTCAAGAAACCTAAGGTGGACATGGATATACACACATTTTTGAGATGTGAACGAGATAATATTCTCTTTACTGCTAGTGAACAGGCTAAGAGGTCTGTATTCGAGGAGGTAGATGCAATCTGTCGTAGATCTACTTCCTCTTGGTGGGATCGTCAAGCGGCCGCAATTTTAACAGCTCTTGCGAGTTCTTCTGGTCCCATCGATTCTGCTATATTCCAATCTCTTCCTGCAGCAGTTACACCCGAAACCGGTCGAGAATTTCTTTCTCGATGCACTTCTCTCGATTTCGCTGCTGATCCACAGTCTTCTATTCTCAAGGAAGAATTGTACTACGCAAATCAAATTGATAAATATCTAGGAGATACTCTGAGTCCTACCCAAACTGTTTATCTGCGCCAAATGACCTCTGGATCTAGTGCTCTTAATCGGCAACCCCTTTTCGATTATCTGTACAATTCTCAGAATGCCCAATCGATTTTCTTTGATGAATCGAAACAGAATGATTTCTATGAGGTCTTTCGTCTTATTAAGAGAATGTTTACCGCTTCTGCACTATGTGTGGATGATGTGGGATCTTCTGAAACGCCGCTCGTCGATTTGCCTCTTCCTAATACCCATGAAAAGGCTCTTGAAGCGCGTACCTGCTCTGGTCTCCAAGTTGCCTTTTTGAGTCGAGCTGTTGCTCATCTAGAGGCTGAGTTTGTCACCTATTTGCAGTCCGTAGTTGCTGCGAATCCAAGGATTGCTCAGCTTGGTGGTCGACCAGGGGTTAGGGCTCTTGTTAGAGCTTATCTCAACACAAAGAATCCTGTTATGCAAGTGTCAGGGGACGGTGATTTTAACGAATTTGTGGATTGTCAAGTAGGTATTTTTTGACGATTACTGATTTAATTTACTTGCCTTTGGTATATTAGCAATGTATTTGCTTTTGTTGGACTATTAGATTTTTACATTTTAGATCTGAAATCAGAGAAGGGTCTCTTTCGGTTTCTCAATTGTTTTAGTGTTAGAGTACTTTTTCATATTATCATCATCGAATGGGCTGTTTATTTTTATGCTCTTATTTATTTTATTCAATACATATTTTAATGTCTTATTTAAATTACATTAATTTAATGCGATTGGCAAAGTTAGCATCAGAATAAATCCGTTCACTGGTTTATGTCTAGATGCAATAGTTACTTGGATAATCAATATGAGAATCAATAATGTTTCTTTTTGTCTTTGAAGTCTGTATGACTTGTGTCGTTCTGTCTGTTGGCTGTCCCTGAATGACTATTCTGTCGTCTGTTGGTGGCAAATCGCACTCAATTTTGCTACTTCTCAAACAACTATTAATATCTGGTTCTTCACCAGCTATACGATGCTTTTCAGATGCTTAATTACGATGGATTGCAGTTCTACTAACAATAATCGTTTCCTAAGTACCCAGCAATTCACATTCCTAGTCTATTTTACACTAATTGGATCGAATTTGAAGATGTAATGCGTTTTTTGTTGCCATTTTCTGGTACTTATTCAGTGATTGTAAGTTAGCTGTGCTAACTCACTAATTACTGAGGTTAGTTTAAAAGCTGCAAAAGCTTAGTTTTTGTTATAATTGGATGTTTTCTCTTGTGTTTTGGAGAAATTAATCTTTTTTTCTGAAAAATTGCGTATGCTAGAAGAAAAAAATAATTTTAACCGAATTTAATAATTCCTTTTCAAAACCCCAGTAATTTATGATAGTCTGGTTCCAGGAACGAATGTAGCATATCTTGGCTAATTAGTCCGGATCGTTTGACTACACCTGATAGTTTCAAAAAAAAGTTTCCGTTAAATATCTTGAAGCAGGTGTTTCATTGAAAAACATCGTTGTAGCCAAAAGCTAGAACTTTGGCTGTTGGATTACGATATGTTTCACAAATCCGTAGCATGTCGAGTCCTCCTACTTTGAGGCTTTTGCAATACCGTGTTTTTTTGTTCACTAAGGATGGAATTGTGGACGGTAAACCAGTTTGGCCCATGATATACTATTGCCTTCGATGTGGTGCCTTGTCAGATGCTGTCAGTGTTGCCTCTGATGGAGCGTAAGTTTGTCTCCATCGTATTTCAGTCGTTCTATTTTATAAAAATCTCATTTTGCTTGCTTTTCTCTCTGTGTAGCAATAATCTTGGAGATTTTGTCCAGACTTTGACCACCTATGTGAACGAGGGAAGAAATCTGCCTCCACGAATGCTCGCCAGTGTCCGTAAGGCCTATCGTCGGGTTGTTAAGAGTTCTCGTGATCCTTACAAAAGGTAATGTACGTTTACTTTGTATCCATCTTCGTGTTTTTTCTCTCACTATGCTAGCTGTAAATTACCATAACTTTCATGAACCTGCATGAAACAGGTCACATAAGGAAGTAGTAAGTCGGGCCATTGAAATAGGCATTCCACAATCATGTAAATTCATGAATTGCTCTCACGTTAAAAATTTTGTCGGAATTCGAACTTCTTTTTCCAATTATTGCTGGACGTTGATTGACAAATCGAACATAGAAGATTTGATAATATGGAGCACCTCATATGATATAGGTTTAGAATATGCAGCGTATTTATTTATTTATTTATATCAAATGACAGGCTTTATGATGGTTATCATTAGCCCTTTAGTTAACTTTGGGCTTCACAGAAAGGAGGAGGAACATCAAAGTCACAAAAGTCGAGAGAGGGAAGAGAAGAGTGATTCACAGATGTAAAAGCGACAGACAGGCACAATGGTAGAAAAAAGGTAAGGTGAGTACTGTGAGGGGGTCGAATATGACATACAGTGGGGTCATGGTAGTTTGAAGTCAGAAGTCAACTGCTGGTTAATAGACTTTTTTGCCGTATGAGTCTACGTTGCCCAGGGTGCATCGCATGGAGGTGAGCCTATTGCACACCCCATAGCTACACTTATTTATCCAGGTTAGTGAACACCAGCTAATAAAAATTTGGTCGCACGCGGACTAACGCGATGAGATTGGATGAATAACATCAAAGCTTAAATTAACTTTTCATTTTGATGGTTCTAGGCTGGTTTTCTGTCTCCTTGGTCGCTGTGACTTAGCTGATGCCCACACCGAGGTTTGTCAGAATATTGACGATTTCTTGTGGCTTCGACTCTCTCAAATCTCTACCAACGAGGATGTTCTTGATAGACACGATGATATCGAAACTCTCACGCTGGGCCAACTGCAAAATCTTCTTTATGAAACCTATGGTGAGGCTTGATAAGACCGTTGGCATACTGTATTCCAACTATTATTGCATAAACCTGGTCTCTGCATTAACCAAACTTTGGCAGAAGTGATAGGACTTATGAGTAGGTTTCAATGTTATCTTCTAGAGTTATTTATTTATTTATTTCAAATGGCAGACGTTTTAAAGTTATCATTAGCCGTTTAGCTGACTTCGAGCTTCACAGAGAGGAGGAGGAATAT